AGCAGCTGGTATGGCCATCCATCAACGTACTAGCCACGTGTTCAGCAGCTGGTATGGCCATCCATCAACGTACACGCCAAAGGCTTAGCAGCTGGTATGACCTTCCATCAACGTACTGGCAACGTGTTCAGCAGCTGATATGGCCATCCATCAACGTACTAGCCACGTGTTCAGCAGCTGGTATTAACTTCCATCAACGTACAAGCCACGTGTTCAGCAGCTGGTATGGCCATCCGTCAACGTGCTAGCCACGTGTTCAGCAGCTGGTATGGCCATCCATAAACGTACTAGCCACATGTTCAGCAGCTGGTATGGTCATCCATCAACGTACTAGCCACGTGTTCAGCAGCTGGTATGGCCATCCATCAACGTACTCGCCATGGGCTTAGCAGCTGGTATGACCTTCCATCAACGTACTAGCCATGACCACACCTCAATGTACTAGCGACGTGCTTAGCAGCTGGTATGACCATACCTCAACGTCCTAGCCACGTATTCAGCAGCTGTAATGGCAATCCGTCAACGTACTAGCCGTTTGGCAGCTGGTATTGTCATACATCAACGTACAAGCCATGCATGTGCTTTGCGGATAGTATGGCCATCAGTCTATGTACTACGTGTTCCCAATGGACCATCTTGGAAACTGGACTTTTATAGTCATTTAACTCCCTTTGCCTCGGAAAGATGAGCAAGGACGTGTGGTTATAATCAATGGAATAGCCATGTGCTCTTCAAGTTGTGAGACCATCAATCTACCTATTTGCTCCTAGGTCAACAGCCAGTGTGGACGGCAATGGCCACATTACAAGTGTATAATATTGGATGCACAGAGCTAATGCCCACCTTTCCAATAGATATAACCGAATTGAGTCATAGCTGACATTTGTTTCGACACACACAGTTAGATATAGATTGATATCCTATTGTTATACAAGCCATAGTTAGTTTTCGGTCGATATCGTTGAGCTCATTCAATGACGTTTACTGGGATAAAAAAAATAAGTTATTGACAGTTATCGAATATGGGGAGTGGGGGTTTCGTTTTCAGGCGTGACAACGGTTGTACGCGTTACCCATGTTGGTAATCAGCATCTTCTCGAGGCAAGGGCGTTAACGGACTATGAAAGCCCAGTTACCACGTGGAAACGTTTCATCATAATATATATCTTGACTATCGATCAGATTATCAATCTTGACTGGGCGCGGCCATTTTGTTTGAAACAGATGCAAGTGATACGAGAGGTGGAATCTGATTAGCCCACAGGAGAGGCTTAGAAGGGACATAACTCGTAATAACCACAGGGTCCACTTGCACAAAGCGATCTTAGCGCTACGACTATTGTAAGCCTATGTTAAAGTAAGGGAGTTATGATCATCTTAGCGCTAAGATCACGCAAATGGGCCCAGGACCCAATTGCACAGAGCGATCTTAGCGCTAAGACTACTGTAAGCCTATGTTAAAGAATAGGAGTTACGATCATCTTAGCGCCAAGGTCGCTTTGTGCAAGTCGGTCCTGGTGGCGCTACGATCGAGCCCAGCAATTCCAGCCTAGTTCGGCAAGGGTGGAAACTGGACTTTTATAGTCAGTTAACTCCCTTGCCTCAGGAAGATGGTGCCAAGGAGCTCGGGTATTATTTCGTCACATCAAGGGACGTTACTCTGGTTTTACCTTGTATTCAAACCTGCCACCACGTACGGGAGTGGGCGAGCAAGTGAGCTGGGTTTAACATATATTTAAATAAATATCATTTTAGTAATATCACGGCGTGTCTGGGGAACTCAACGGTCACGTGTACGGCACTGACAAACCAAAATATGTGTAAAAAGGCATTCGAATTCACAATCGAACATGACGGACAAGGGAAACAACTCTGAACAGCTCATTGAACCCATGCCCGAAGGACGTAGGCTACCGGCCAGGAACAGTAGACCACCAAGTGTAACCTGAACGGAAGGGTCGTCTCCGTTAATGCAGGGAAACGACCCATGCTTGCGAATAGCGTGATCGGCTGGTCAGGCACGCTGACTTGGTTGATACATGTATGTCATCGTATCCCAGTTGCGTGGATCGATGCTCATGATGTCAATCACTGGATTGTCTGGTTCAGACTCGATTATTGACAGACCGCCGTCATATAGATGGAATATTGCTGAGTGTGGCGTTAAACAACAAACAAACAAACAAAAGTTCAGGGCAGTCTTCTTTCTTATGGTAAACCCAATCATGACAAGTTTCAATTTGTTAAATCGTGTTTTAGTTGACCACAGAAAATTCGTTATGTAGTCTACATCAAATCACTAGACACGCGTGATTCTTACTTTGATTGTGGTCTAGTATACTGATTAAGCAGTGTTTGTACGTCAATAGTTCATGTTATTGGTCTGCTGTACTTATAGTTGACCTTTGTTGGGTGCCATAGTAAATATTGGTGTCACGCAGAATCACTTCGTGACCAGAATACGAGGAAAAAGCGAATATGTTTTGGAGGAAGTGGAAATAATTGCATTCATTCTGGAAAACTCAATTAGTTTTAGTTCTAGACAGTATATTTCTGTTAAGAATTTAATCTACTTTGACCTTGATAATGATGGCCAACAACTTGATCTGTCGCTGTGTATGTCTTAGGTTCATATCTATAAATAGATGTGGATGTTATTGGTTGAAATTCTTTTTTTTTACATTTTGACCTTGTCTATATTGTTTATCTGAGGCAAATATCCACATTGACCTATCAACAACTGAATGTGCTTCAAGTGCATCGATATTTGTCAGAAACCTTTAACCTTTATCACACTTTAACTAGCTTTCTGGTCACAATTCTGAAATCCATCAACCCAGAAACCAAGGGGGCAACTGAACCTGTCCAACTTCCCCAATATGTCCTGTCTTGTGTGATGTGAGTTGTTTGAGACTGAGTTTCTGTGTACTAACTGAAGGTAGGGGACAGGGTGGGCAAGTCGTCTGAGATGCAGCCATTCGCTGCGCCAGAATACCATGATAGTGTATTCCACTCCCGGATTACCCCCAACCCCCCATTATAATTCTGGGTTTGTCAGCACCATACTCGGGCTGGTGGGTTTCAATTAAAAGTTGCCAACATCTGGGACCTGCCCCACTTTCCTCCAAAATCAAGCTGAGATGCTGTGATATAACTGGAACACTGTTCAAAGCGTGTTAAATCCAACTCACTGCTGTAGGATAATCATTTACTGTTTGAAATAAATCATACAATCTGTACAAACATATAAAAAATGTCATGATTGAAGGACTTGAGGCGAGGTGAAATAGGCTTTAATCTGGCATTCAAGTTACTGTACTAGATAGTGACAAGCATGTGTGGCTGCTTGTAGTTGACTGATGCCATTTTTACAGTGCTAGCCCACCAAAGCTACCATGCCACAGTTTAACAAGAATACCTCACTCAGACAGTGACCTTCCACACCCCGGGCAGATGCTATATCCTCTACACTATGGAAGCTGTCAAACAGGACTTCGAATTGGCCCTGTGTCCAGCGCCCCTTTAAGAGTGGCCATGTAACATGTTTATCAGATGTTTCCGGATGATTGTATGTCTTGAAGTGCTGACTGAAAAACTTATTCAGTCTCAAATAAAATTTCTCTGCTCGCCACACCCCCCACCAAAATTCACACAAATCTGCTGGCCCGAGACTACTAAATCTGCTGAAGACAAGGACAAAAATCCAATGATGGTAGCCCTTCTTGATTTGAGGGCTGTAATGCTGAAAGGGTTTTCAATGCTTTAATTTTTCACACAAGTGAAGTAAGGTTTATGCTTGTCCCCTGGACTAGTCTTAAAAAACTGAATTTCTGAGGCAGTGACAGACATATAGGCTGTCCTTCATGGGGTTTGAGATATACATCTTATTATCTGTTTGAGATATAACCCAGACACCACAAATGTTGATGGGACAAGGGATGACTATTGTAAAATGTTGACCTATAACCATTTGGGCCACAATCTGGACAAAGGACAGTAGTGAATTATTTTCAAGTTTGTGACAATCCTTACTAATACATGTTGAACATTCAATACTCTGCGAGATTGTCAGAAACTTGAGTTTCACTGGAAAGCTGCATAAGTTACCTCCACAGGGAGATCAACTCTTCATTAAATAGTACAGACATTGCTGCAACAGTAACTTCTGTGTTCAGCTCTCTCAACAATTTGTATGGACAAATAACCTTTCTGTCTAGCAGAAAGTAACACATACTGATAATGCCATGAGTATTTCTGTGATTTCATGTAAACATAATGTTATATATTTTCTTGTTTAAGGGTTTTGGGTGTTTCTCTGGGTGCCTATGACCATGGCCATTAAACCAACACGAGTTATCTCCCTTGAATAAGCAATGTTGTGTTTCATTTCACCATAGACCTTATAATATACGGTTTCTGATTTCACCCAAGAACTACTGGTCTGAGTTGTTTCCAACTGTTGGTCATATAATTGACAATCTAGGACTCATAAACACTATTTATGTAGTACCTGCATATTCAGTCAGCTGGGATAGAAATTTCGACATAGTAGTTCTCAAATGAGTATTGCTTGCAGGAGTCTGAATTAATGCTGGTTTTATAGTTTTAGCCCATTGAGGTACCATGCCTCTAACATGAATACCCTACCCAGACCAGTCTTTGTTTTATCTCCTTAATGCCAAGCACCAGACAGGGAAACAGCAAGTACCATCTTGGTTTGAGGCCAAGCGCTCTACAGGCAAACGCTCTATCCACTAGACCACAGAGGTGACTAGTAGAAAATAGATTTGTTTGATGTTTAACACAACACATGATGGCAGCCTGTAATTAATCTATACCAGACAACTAGTGATTGATCATATGAGCAACATCATTGGGGCATGATGACATATAATCAACCAAGTCACTCAGTCGCCTCTTACATGATTTTTCTGTTTTTCATAATAATCAAGAATAACATTTTCCATTTATCCTTGTGAAATAATAACATGACTCTCATCTATATATAAATACTATGTATTAAGACTATATACAGGTTCGAGTACATGCAGCATTTCCATGTCATCTCCGTGACTTGCATAATCGTTGACGCATTACAAAACTCCAAATATTACTAAACAAAATTGTTTCAGTCATATTTCTAGACTAAATGGTTCATTCTGGTATGTTGTTTAAACCATACAAGCTCCGGATTGAACATCATCACAAATCATCAAAACATCATCACAAGTTCTTCCACTGCCATCATTGTGTCGGTTCTTCACCACTTGGTTGAAATTGTTTTGGAAGGCGGAGGCCAACCAAATTAGCACTTGACTCTATGTCTCGCTCTCCATGACCCTTGTACTGTGCACTGAGTTCCTGAAAATAAAGACTACATAATGATATGACAGGTGAAATAGGGTTTCACAGCATCTTGAGTTAAAGATTATTGCACATACATAAGCGACGTGCATGCACATGTGTGTCTGGCTGCATGTAGTAGTTTGGACTAATGCCGGTCTGATGGTGCCAGCCACTGAGATACCATGCCACAGTTTAACTTGGATACCCCACTCAGACACAGTATACTGATTACGACCTGAACAGTCCTTGTTTTAACCCCTTAATGCTGAGCGCAGGCAGGGTAAGAACATGTAAAGTCTTTAAACGTCTATAGGTATGGCGTGGCAAAGGGATCAAACCGCCGACCTCCCGCTCTCCTCGCAAACACTCTATATCGACTAGACAATGGAATATTTCTTGTTTGTTCCAATCATGTTTATAGTTATTCATTTGATGAGCTGCAGTAAACTCAGCACTGAATCTGCTGTCAAGACACAAGTTAACTGGAGATGTTTGCATGTACTTGCATGTGATTTCCTGGAAGCTTCTCAAGTTTTACTACCTCAAACTTCCCATCTGAAAAGACCCGTGAAGATTCCGGGGGAGAATAGGTCTTCAGCAACCCATGCTTGCCGTAAAAGGTGACTATGCTTGTCGCAAAAGGCGACTAATGGGATCGGGTGGTCAGGCTCGCTGACTTGGTTGATGCATGTCACCGTATCCCAATTGCGTGGATCGATGCTCATGATATTAATCACTGGATTGTCTGGTCCAGGCTCGATTATTTACAGACCGCCGTCATATAGCTGGAATATTGCTGAGTGCGGCGTTAAACAACAAACCAACCAACCAACCCATCTGAAAACAATACAATTATTCAAGTTTCAGGACTGTACAGTGGGTGAATGAGTGAGTGAATGATGTTTATCACCAAGGGACATGGGTATGGAGCTGATAAACCGGGATTCAAACTCATGATGATATGTTTCTGGCCTGACCAAGGGACGCAACACTGCACAGCGAAATTGCACCGCCTTGGATGACTGGGCCACCTGAGCCCCCATAACTGGAAAGGGTAAGTTGACATTAAAAAGACTCCGAGTGAGTGAATATTTCACACTGCAGACCACAAAATTCCAACAATTTCTTGGCAAACCATAAAGAATCCAGTAAGTGACTAATACACAGGGGTTGACAGCAGGAACAACAATTATTCTGTCAGTCAGGTCAAAGCAAACACAAATAGCCAGGTCGCACATTGCCACCTCCTGCTCCTTATTTTAGTAGGTTGTTACAACAAGCATTGGACAAGGATGGTCAGGGCATATGAAACCAGGGGTCCAGAGGATCTCCAATGACTAATTTCAAGGGTCCTTTCAGGAAATATGAAGGTCCTGTAAACCCCAGTTAACTACACCATAGTAAGCTCAGCCAATATTAGGTTACACGAAAGACTAATAGCTGCAGACAAAATCTCAAAAAGACATGATCAGGTCAGTACATGATGTAGTATACAGGCATATAGGACTTATGCATGGTTGGCAATAAAATTTACAAATTTACTACTTTTCACAAAAACTCTTATGATATGACCCAGGCAACTGATATACCATCAAACCTAACACAGATGCAAATGTAGTCCTGCACCATGACTGAGGAATATTTGTATTTCATGAAAACAAAACTAATCTTGATATATATACAAAAGCAAGTCTAGCCAGCTCTGTTCCAACTATGAACTCAACCTCAGGAAAATTATTTGTTTTAGTTTAGAGGAGAGAAATGTATTGTGTTATAAGAGATTTCATAGACTACATGTTAGTCTCATACAATTTACCCATAAAGTATGGATGAATCATACATTTAGTAGGGCTACGTTTGTCTCAAATCTAACATATTAACTCTAGTCTGTGCCAAAAAACCCATCGCTATATGGCTGAAATAATGCCAGTGAGGCGTTAACTTTTAACTCACTCACTGTGCCAAAAACATTTGTGTCTACTTGCCTGAAATTGTCTCTTGGCATCAGTTTCAGAAGATTTTAGTGTAAATACATGGATTATTTGTAGTTGAGCATACCAGACCAAACAAAGTTAACTAGATTCAAGCCTTGGACCTGTTGCTGAACTCAAAGACAGTAACTCTGGTGTGTAAAGTCAAATGAGCCATGCAACCTAGGAATTGAAAGCGTTACTAATCTTGTTACTCAAAAGGTTCTAGTTGTAGAACATGCTTGCCTCATGTTTACGCCTGCTGTGCAGTAGGGAGAGATAGGTGGCTCCCATATGCTGCATCTCACTCTGGCCACGGCATATCTTCTCACTTGTCACCTGATGTGTGCGAAACTGATCCTTCATGTAGGAAAGAACTGGAGCATCCTGAAAGGTAAATAAACATTCAGAAATATCATGAAAAGCAGTGCAGCATGATAAGTACAACTCTTGCGTTAAGTGTAAAAAATTAGACCAATCCTGCAGATGTATGGGATGGCCAGCTTTGAATTTCTAAAAATACCATTTTTATGCTAGAAACCTAAACTGAACATGCTGAAAGGCCTTTGACCTTCACATACCACCATTTATCTAGCCTTATTGCCTTTGGACTTCAGAAGCTGAAATGTGTGTATATAATCCCTAAAATGAGGTCTCTAAAACATGCTCACAGAAATCTGATCAAATTTTAGAAATCTCCCATCACCACATCATTACTCAGACATATCTGTATGTATCGTTACATACTTTGTATAAAATGATATTCAGTAAGTATGTGCTCTCCTAGATCACATATATCCCTTTTTCATATCATAACTTTGGCCAAGCTATACATACTTAAAACTTAATTTCACTGCAATTTCAACATCTTGTTTTGAAACTGTGCCTTCCAATATTACCGTGGTAGTCTGCCATTAAGAATATGTAATTTTGGCCCTCTATGGCCAGATATGTATCATCTAAAGAACATGCAGTGAGGATGTCTTTGTGTCAAAATTTAATATATTTCTTATGGCTGTTTTTTCTTTTTGTGACTTTTCAGATAAAATAATATTACAGCAACATTTAAGTGAGCTACAAAGTCTTGTGGTGTCTTTTTCTGATCTTGATTCTAATGTTTTCTTGTGTTTTCTGAGCATAGAAAATGGGGAAAGGTAGCTGTTGCCCATAATAACTACTAAGTCACAAACTGTTGTGATTATATTCAAGTCTTTACAAGGAATTTAGAAGTCAGAAGAACATGAAACTTTTTGTGGATAACATTTTTTTTTACTGTTCCATTTTTCCATGTTCTGCCATCTACTGATATTGTTTATATTGGGGACCAGGGGAAGAAATTTTCTTCCAGAATCCCTTTGCTAGCCTTAGAGGTGCTTTAAGCTCTTAACTTTTATAAAAATACATTTCCAAAGGTAAATGGTTTTGTTTGTTTGTTGTTTAACGCAGCACTCAGCAATATTACAGCTATAAGACATCGGTCTGCAAACAATCGAGTGTGAACCAGACAATCCAGTGAGAAGACATCATGGGTATCGAACCATGCAATTAGGACAGCATCTACAGGCCTACAAAAATGACACAATCATATCTCCCCTTATGTTGTCGAGTTTACGTTTGAACTTTAAAATTTAAATTTGTCACAACACTGTCTAGTTCACAGGAATCCATGTGATTAAAGAGAGAATAAAGCCATTTACAAGTTAAATTCCAGACATTACTTTAGCATAAATCCTGTGCAATTCACGTAAAAGCTGCCTGTACAAATTAATGTTGACAGACGCCATGTTGCAAGTTGCAAGTGCTCGATTTTCGCTCACCTTTGTTAGGAATAGTGGACGAAACGAAATATATAATATATTTATATTTTAAGGGAATAATAAACGTCCATCCAAAAAGACAAACTGTTCCATTTCAAATCATTCGATAAATATTATCTCGTTCATGCGGGATGTTTTATGTCTTTTGAAATTAATTTGCAAAGGGCATGTGATCGTAATTCGTTCTAGGAAACATATTTTAACGTATCGAAGTCTCGTCTCGCGATAGTGTTTTCAAAATGGCAGCCAAGGGAAGTAATGAGAGCTGTGTATGAGTAACAGATTATCATAAACGTAAGAATCTTAAAATAGAAAGATGGCCGAAGCTCCACAAGAAGGCTCTAAACTGTCAGATCTCTTTGAGGAAATTTGGAAAATCTTCATCTTCGTTGACACTTGTGACGAACCGCTTGCAGACGACAAAGTCCAGGTGATAAGAATAGCATGTTGTACAGCGATATATACATAGGGCCTACTAGGGAATGATTTAGGCCATTGAACCCAAAATGTCAGTCGATAATTTTAAATAGTTAGTCTCGTTAGGTTACCGTCTTACTATGATTCACCATGATTTATGATGTGTATATATATATCCCAAAAAATCTCAGGATAATCTATTTATCTATTGTCTCACTGTCTGTCGTTAGAAGCTGTGGTTGGCATTCTAGAAGATGATATTGATTGTATTAAGAACAAATTTTAACGATAAACAGTGTGACAACTTGTTCATGTACACGCTTGTGTCAAATGAGACAAGGATGTAATGAAATGACTCTCCTTGTTACTACAATCAACTCACAGAGATGCACACACAACTTAGAAGATCCATGATCCACAACATGAACAGTGATGACCAGAATGAAAAAGTCACTGAATATTTCACATAACAAACGAAAAAGTTACAATTGAGATTTCTGTAACATTTTAACAAGACCCACAACCATTATAACAAAATGTTCTTGTTTGAACTTCTGACTTCTTTTAGGTTTTTCCTTCCAAATAAACAGGCTAGACGAACTCACCTACTTACTTAAGGGGAAACAACACTCCAACTTTTTGTCGTCTAGCCGATGCCGTTATACTTATCCCGCATAATCACCAGATGCCAATTAGCGTCAGGGACAAAACAAACTTGGCTTTAGACCAACGAGGGTGCAGTGGGAGGCCATCGTTGACAGTGAGGGGGAATCCCCTTGAATCACCCCCAGGATGATGCTTGCTATGACAATAAAGTTCATATCATATACTCAAAACAGCAACAACCCTTATTTTTCATGCAAACTGCATATAATGCATCAATTACAACTCCCTTCGTGTCATCCATGTTTCATGGTATAACGCTCAAATACAAACATCATTCTGCTAACCTGTGTATTTGTCACCATTCACTTGATGTTCAGTTAATGACTTTATTATAGGTATAATTACTGGTAGAACCACTCAGATTACCTGACAAAGACTATAAGTTGGAGTGTTGTTTCCCTTTTACCATGATCAACATATAAGATTCAGTTGACAATCAACAATCAACATGACAATCAACACATCATCATGACATCATAGCTGAGTTGAACTAGCTGTCTTTTATTCTTTAATATATCACTGGCATCTGATATAATATAAATAAAATAACAATTAGTTGATACATATTTCAAAATTGCAATCATGGTTATGTAGTTTTTTTCTGAACTAATGTAAATGCCAATAATGTAAAAGTCGTTGACATTTAATTATGTTAATGAATGACTTACATTTCACTCACACAAGAGGAAACAGTTCAAACAAATGACTTGCAATCATGCTGATGTACATTTAAGAATACTGTCTACTGAAAATTAATAATAACTTGATGAAAAGGATTATGCGACATGTGTCACGGAAAATCCCACTTCAAACTTAGGTAATCAACCAATAATGTTCTTTAAAAAAATGTTCTTACACTTTAGTTGGTCAAATGCAAACATCATTCTGCTAACCTTATTGTCTGTCAAACCAAGAGCTTGCACAGGTATTGTCCATTTGTTAGCTGCCAGTTGTTTATAAGTCTAATATTAATGTGTCTAAACTGATATACATGATCTTAGGTCTGGTTTCTTTTTTCAACCTCAAACTGTAGGTTCTCCGCTTAAAAAGATTGTGATACATGTCAAAGTTAAAAAAACATTTGTTCCAATGACCACGATAAGACCAAACAAGTCATTGTTGTCAAACACACAATGGGATCTCATAACTTGTCTTGCAGGATAAAATATATTTTGGTGTCCAGAAGTGTGAGAAAGCTGTGCACATGACAAATGAATTGTCCCTCTTCAGCGACAATGAAAGCCTTGATGAAGTAGCTTCTTCTGAATTGAAGTAAGTTGTTGCAAATATTTCCATTTATTACGTTGCTCATGCTTAGTGTGCATCAACAAAATGCTTGAGTTCTTAATAACTTTTTTTTCTAATCTTTTTTCTTTTTCGATTGGTGCATTTCATGCATATAGGCAGTGGGAAAGCCTCGTGGTTGCCATGGTTACAGTGTTGGCATGACAAACCATATATGGCATAGACCAAATGTATTCATTTCCGACCTGAGTTCATTTCTGGTATCCCCAATGTCCCCAAAGATGGGTTAATGATTGGTGGGGGGCGCTGGGGTAGCCTATTTGTCGAAGAGTCAGCCAGTCGGACCCGGGTTCAATTCCCCACATCGGTACAATGTGTAAAACCCATTTCTGGTGTCCCTGCCATGATATTGCTGGAATATTGCTAAAAGCAGCGTAAAACCATACTCTCTAACTCATTCAGTACTGGTGGTACCGTATTCGGCGTATTAAGTCCTCGTCAATAAGTGTTGGAGTATATCATGTATATTATTGCCTAGTAACTATTATATAAACGTTTGACATACATCATGTACATCAATGTTTGAACAACTTTGTTGTCTACCACTAGATCTCCAACAACATTTTTAACTTGTGAATGGTTTTGATAACTGCCCCTTTGTCAATTTTCTAAGCTCACAGATCGCTTGTTACAATGAGTAGGGTATGTTGAATATTTAACTTGTTATGTATGGTTTTAATAACTGCCCCTTTGTCAATTTTCAAGGCTCACAAATTGCTTATTACACTGAAATCGGTATGTTGAAACTATTTCCTTTCATTAACAAATTACTGATTTTGATATCTTCAGCATCTGAATGAAGTAATACACTGAACATCATGAACATACCAACACCTTATCTTGGTCACTGGAATTTTCCCTTTTCAGATACATGTTACTACCAGCCTTATTAGGTTTCTTCACATATCAGACAACTAGAGCAGAAAGACTTCCGCTCGTCAAGAAGGCTCGGGTATGGTTCTAACTTTATATTCCCCTAGTTTTGAGGAGCAATATATTGGTTGTTTAACAGCATTGGTTCAGGGATAAAATTGATCCTTAAGTCTCTGTGGTGTAGTGGATAGAGTGTCTGTCTGGAGAACTAAAGGTTGATGGATTAATCCCTCTCCATGTCATACCGAAAGATGTTAAACGATTGTACTGTACTTGTTACCCTGCCTGGTGTTCTGATTTAAGGGGATAAGCCAACCATTGGTTTGGTTGGATGCAGTAAACTGTGTCTGAGTGGGGTATTCATGTTAAACTGCGGCATGGTAAATCGGGGGATAGCACTTTAAAACTGGTATAAGTCCGTACAAGCAACCACACAAACCCTATTTTTCCTCTCTTCACATACAATTAGCCCTCAGCAACCTGTTTGTGGTACAGGGCAGGCCTCTTATCTATTTATCGATGGCATTGACCATTGGTCCTTCATCACTGGTTTATCTGGTCCAGACTCGAGTATTTTCAGCCCAGTATTATCATGATGATGTAGCTGGAATATTACTGAGTGCTGCGTCAAACACTATTGAGCATGTTTTTCATCATTGTTCAAATATCAAGTTTGGGATAATTTTTCACTCAGATGTGTACATGATTATACTGGGTATAAAAAAACAATGTGTTATTTCACATACATGTATTATTCTGTAAAGGGAGATTCAGATAGCAATAATTTAGTCTCATTTGTTAAATCTGATTTTCTTGCAGTTTAACAATTTAACCTATTATAATTTGCATACACCTTTGTTTTCTTTGACATGTAAATGTGCAGTCAGCATGTTCAGCATAATAATAAATAGAGTTTATCAGATATTCTTTTTTCACTTCTCCTTTTTTAGGGTCAGTTAATAAGGGGTTTATCCAGCATTCTTTTCTAAGTGCCCATGGCAGGCAAACTGATTATTTTGTTCAAAACGTTTTTGTTTTCCTTAACTAGGATGTATTTTAACATTTCGTTTAGTGAGATAATGTGAAACTATGCATTTAGGCCTCATCCAGTTTATTTGCCCTGTTGTTAGTGGTATACAAGTTACTTCCACAAAGCCAGAACGTTAGTTTTAACTATATTCACTTAAATTGGGATTTATTAATTCAAATTTGGGAAGTTTTACTGACATTTACCAGACTTGGGGCCTGAATATCTGCCCTTGAGCAGGTCTAGATTAATCCCTGTATGATCCAGAAACCAATTAAGCCTTGCCTTAAATGTTTAGGTATTTCATTTTACAGCTGTTCTTCACGGACTACATGCGACTCTGTAAGAACTATGAAGTGACTGACATTGATGTGGCCTGTGTTGATGAAGATGGGGATGATGCCGCCACAGCCATGGGTCTTGTAGCACCAAGGTTTGTTTGTTGTTTAACGCCACACACTGCAGTATTCCAGCTATATGACGGTGGTCTATAAATCCAGTGATTGACATTATGAGGATCGATCTACGAAACCGGGATACGATGACATGCATCAACCAAGTCAGCGAGCCTGACCACCCGATCCTGTCAGTCGCCTCTTACAACAAGCAGGGGTTGCTGAAGACTTATTCTACCCAGGATCATCTCAGGTTTTAGCACCAAGGTGATGACCCCATCATGGTCCTCACAGTATCACTGAATTGGGCAACTGCGTCCTTGTTTTCAGGATTGTATTTGTCTTTGTTTGTTTGTTGTTTATTGGCGCACACAATGTCCAGTGATTGACGTGATGAACAACTTACACAATAGGGGTACAGTGACATGCATCAACCAAGTCAGCGAGCCTGACCACCCAATCCCGTTAGTCACCTCTTTCGAAAAGCATGGGTTGCCGAAGACCAATTTCAAAACCAGATCCCCACGGGGATTCAGGATGTTAAGAACAATCAAATATATATGGTCATGTTCTTCCAAAGTTAAAAACCTTGATAACCATGTGATAGCTCAGTGTAGGTGGACACAGCAGTGCTACTCTGAAAACATATAACAATTCTTGTTTGATTACCAAAAACATTTTCAAACATTCATGTAATATGAGATAGTACAGATGTGAAATTTCTAACTGGCGTCATCTAATTCATAACTATTTTTAAGATAGAAAATTAGGCTGGTTTGGCAGCAGTGAAACTGTTAAAGGTGCCAGTCTGTACTAGAACGTTTTATTCAGGGGTATGGACATGCGGATGATGGCGAGTACGCGGCAGTCGAAGATTGAGCAGTTCCGGAAGAAGAAGGAGATGGAGAAGAGGATGAAGGAGTTGCATGAGCTGATGGAGAAGGAGTCCGTAGAGGAAGAAGTCAAGGTGAGACAGGGTAGAATAATGACAGACTGGGGCGGTAGGTAGCCTAGTGGTTAAAGCGTTTGCCTGTCATGATATATCAATTCTGCCTTGTGTACACATGTCTATCAATTCTGCCTTGTGTACACTTATATATGAATTCTGCCTTGTGTACACTTGTATATCAAATCTGCCTTGTGTACACATGTATATCAATTCTGCCTTGTGTACACATGTATATCAATTCTGCCTTGTGTACACTTGTATATCAAATCTGCCTTGTGTACACATGTATATCAATTCTGCCTTGTGTACACATGTATATCAATTCTGCCTGTGCAGATGTATATATATTCTGCCTTGTGTACACATGTATATCAATTCTGCCTTGTGTACACATGTATATCAATTCTGCCTGTGCAGATGTATATCAATTCTGACTCATGCATATTGGTATGAAGACTGCCTCCTGTTCCAGAGAGAGTACTACACTACAATGTTAAAGCAGTGGGTGTCTCGCAGTATGGAGGAGATTGACAGTATTAACAGTAAGTCATAGTCCCACTACCCTCTCTATGACCTTCTACACTAACATTGATCATTTCACATGATGTCATCCAGATGTGACCGCCTCTGTGGTCTAGTGGTAGGGCGTCCGCCCGGAGAGTGGAAGGTCCAGGGTTCAATCCCTGGCTGCTTCACACCAAAAGATGTCAAAAGATGGTACTTGTTGTTACTCTGCCTGGCGCTCGGCATTAAGAGGCTAAAACAAGGGCTGGTCGGCTCTGAATCAGTATACTGTGTCTGAGTGGGGTATTCATGTTAAGCTGCCTCATGGTATCTCAAGGGGCTAGTACTATAAAATCAGCAACAGTCTGTAGTATAGGCTAGTATACTAGTATAAGCCGCCACTAACACACACACACACAATATGCATGCACGTCGCTATGTAAGTGCAATAATCTTGGACGCGACGTTGAACCCAATTTCACCTCACCTCATCAAGATTCTAGAGCTGGCCTGAGTGTTAGGAACATGGGGTTACTGTATGACCTGCGTATGTGTTGACTGGATTGACTAATACATCTTTCATATTCACTCATAAGTGCAGGGTGCATAGTTAAACAAACAGTGAGGTGTGGCCCAGTCGTCTAAGGCACTACAGTTCACTGTGCAGGGTTGCGTCCCTTTGTCACGCCAGAAATCTGTGCACGTGGGTTTGAATCCTGGTTAGTCCCGATTATGTTTCTAGGCCTGTCACCACCATACCCGTGCTCCTGTGTATCACTTGCATCACATCGGGCTTTCCTCCCACACTAAGCTGACATGCTGTGACATAACTGGAACTCTCACACTCACTCAATAATTGAGTTCAAACACTGTTTACAATTTCTTTTAACATGGTCTTTTTCAGCCGAAATTCCTATATTAGAACACATGGCAAGGATGAAGGCAGAGCAGAAGAAGCATCCAAATGACCACAAGAATGAGCATCCTCCAAAGAAACAAGCAAAAGTAAGAGACTGCCCATTTATTGGGAAGGGGAGGAGGGGGGGTGGGGTGGGGGGGGGGGGGGGGGGTTTGGCCTGGTGTGATGAGACAGTTCTAATTTATTAAATAAAAACATTATCATCGGATCATATAGGTTTTCAGACATCATACCTTTTCGAGTGGCCATGTTTATCGCGATGACTTGCAGTTTAACGGGAGGTGTAGCATCACACAGGAAATGTAAATCCTTTGATGATGGCTTGTTCTAAAGAGAAAGTTGAATGAGATGTTTTACAGTTGTTGATGTGATTAGAGAGAACACTACGAATGTTTCTTAAGCGTCCAAAGAGCCATAACACCGGGATAATGAACATTATTTAGGGTCTGGTCATTTATTATTGGGAGGGGTCAATGTATACACGATACCTGTATTTGACAGGGAGGGGGAATGTTACATACAGTGGGGGGGGCGGGCAGCAACATATGATACAGTCCCAAGACCAATTGTGCACCCCCCACCTTAATAAATGACCAGTATGACCCTTCCTTTGCATGGTTGTAGTAAAGGTAAACCAGTGGTAATCATGGTGATGTGGATTTAGAATAATAGTATTGAAATATTGACTCAATCTCATTAAAATCAGACCTTAGTTCTCGCTACTGCTAAACAAAGATCTGAAGACATCCCATCCCAATAGGCCAATACCCTGTCATACTCCTGTTTATAGAGTATATTGTACTGTAAAGTGAATGATGAGGTTGTTATTACAATTGGTCTGTAATATCAAACGTAATACTTTTGATGTGAAATACTGACATCAACATCCGTCATGAGGCTTTCTCGAATTCCATATTCCATATTCCATATTCCATATTCCATATTCCATATTCCATATTCCATATTCCATATTCCATATTCACAAGGTTTGCCAGCAGCAGATCCATGGTCGTTGGTTTTCGTCAAAGTGTAAACGTCTGATACATGCATCACTTCAGGCTTTCATCCCACATCAAGCTGACACGCCGTGATACAACTGCAAGACTGTTCAAAGCGGCGTTAAACCCAACTCACTCATTCACTCACGTATCTGCATTGGATACAAGAAAAATTCAGTAATTTGTTTCTCAACCATTCCATCCGTTCATCTCGACCTAACAATGTATTTGGTTTGGGAAAAAACACCAGACTCATTGTACAAGTTGAAGGTGTGTGACAGTTAGGCACACCCCCTCGACAAAGCTGTATTTTTTGGAAAACAAGTGTGCACAGTACTCAAGGAAATATGGTATTTTATTTTCCAGCCTTTCCGTCCATTCATATTAACCAAAGACATGGTGCAGAAGCAGGTGTTCGGTGCCGGCTACTCAGCATTGCCTACTTACACCATTGAAGAGTTCTACGAGCAGAAGCTGGCTGATGGCACATTCCACCCACCAACATCGGGGATGGGGAAGTAAGTTGAGATGTTAAGTTATGCACCCCGATTACTGCCAGTGAGTATAACAGCAAGCAAGCAAGTGTTGTTATATTTTGGCTGGACTAATGAGTGTATGCATAGTCCAATCAAAATCGCATTGCTAATCCGGTTCGTAAACTGCCGTGCAGATTTTGGTCGATTGCAGGATTTGCAAAGCATGTGTACTGCCAACTCAACGTCAACAGATTTGATTTGATGCACTTTGTGAAGTAAGACCTGTTTTATGACAATATAGATTTTGTTAGTGATATGAGAGGTGGAATCAGATTGGTCAATAGGAGGGACGTAGAAGGGACATAACTTGTAATAGCCACTGGTGACGCTACGATCGAGCCCAGAAATTACAGTCTAGTTCAGCAAGTGTGGAAACTGGACTTTTTGCGGTCAGTTAACTCCCTTGCCTTGGAAAGATGGACCCTTGGTGTGGAATTGTGATAATGGTGGTTTCTTGTTTCAACTGAAACAAGATGCAATTTGTTCTTATTTTGCAATTTTTCAATATTTATAATGTCTGAATGGGGGCAGGTAACATTGAGGATGGGCAGCAACAATTATGGGTCACCTGCTTGACTTCCTTGTTGGGTCTAAAATTATTTCAAACACTGCTGAGTGCGGAGTTAAACAAAGAAAAAAGCAACAAACAAACAAACTATTCAGTACAAAAAGCTCCCTGTGTCTGTAGCATGAGTCTCCAGGACCGGGTGGCTGACCCTGAAGCTGCAGCAGCAGAGGAAGAGAAGTACTGGGCAGAGGAAGAACGGAAGGTGGAGACAGACCAACCCGAGGAGCTGCAGAGGAAGAGAGAGCTGGATGACTGGAAAGATGGTGAGTTGTGTTAATAGAGGGGAATGGTGACCCCTATGGTCTAAGGGCCAATTGACGGTGCCAAATGCGCCATAATAATTGTTTAAGCTTCACCTCAACATTTGGCTATGCTACATATAGCTGTGTGAGTGATGTACCATCATTGGCTGTGCAGAGTTATTCCCCTTAGAAGTCAGGATCTTGCTGATATCACTGTGAGTGAGGTTAAGTTTTACACAGCTTTTAAGTAACAGTATTCAAGTTATGGGATGGCGTGTCAGCTTAATGAGGGAGGAAAGCCCAAAGTGATGCAGGTCTCAAACTTTTAACTCTTGTGAAACCAACAAGCAAGAGTATGCTGCTGACAAATCTAGAAACAAAATCTGGGCGAACAAGGATTCAAACCCACAATCATAAGTTTCTGGTGTGCCCAAGGGACATAACTATGTTCAGGTGACTGGGCAGCCTGTGCCCCTTCCAATCACAGATTCAACCTAATTATCCCATGATACTGTTACTGTTAGAGAAAACCAACATAAATTAATTTGAGTTAAACACAACATTTTGATAGCAACAACCTCTTGTTAGCCTGGCCATGTGGAAGTTCATGCAAAATCAGAACAAATAAAGTATTGATCATGATAAGTATGATATGATGACTTAAGTATCACCATATGTGTGATATCAGGACTTTAGTATCGCAATATGTATGATATGACTTAAATATCATATGTATTGATATGTGAGGTAGACTAATTTTGCGCTGGTATCAAATAGAACATAAACATACATGGGATTGAGCATTAATTTCACTTGTTCAACTTTCATTGACATCCTCTCATCACCAACCCGTGAAGATTCCGGGGTAGAATAGGTCTTCAGCAACCCATGCTTGCCGTAAAAGGTGACTATGCTTGTCGTAAAAGGCGACTAACGGGATTGGGTGGTCAGGCTCGCTGACTTGGTTGATCATGTTGATGCATGTCATCGATCCCAATTGTGTGGATCGATGCTCATGATATTAATCACTGGATTGTTTGGTCCAGACTCGATTATTTACAGACCGCCGTCATATAGCTGGAATATTGCTGAGTGCGGCGTTTAACAACAAAACAACCAATCATTGACATCCTTACTTGTTTGTTCATAAATATTATTGTGATCTAAACATGAAGTTTATGTTATCAATCCCACATTTGAAGTTTCATTCATATACTAGTGGACTTACGGGGGATCTCAGAATCCTTTGCTTTCTGCTGTGGTACTCCAGCATGTTGAGTCGATGCTAAGTCACATGACTTTCATGCATAATTTCAAACACTATGCTATTGAACAGAACATATTGTGGCAGGGTATATCGATCGTATTTTGATTTGTCCATGAGAATAAGCTTCCTTCTTGTTACAGGGAATATCGATGACTTATACATATACGATAACATACACTGGAAATAAAAACTCAATCAACTTGACAAGATGTGTTTTTGTGCTTGAGTCCATTATGAAACGTATCAAATGAGATTCAGACCTGAACAATGATATTGTGTTTGATTGTCTCATGCCTTAATACTAAATACACAGAACAACCTGATTTGATTGTTGTGGCCAATTTGCCAAATATTACAAAAATTTAATATGCATTTTTTTAAGTGTTTTTTTTTAAAATTTCAGATCATAGGCGTGGATGGGGAAATAGGAAAAATATGTTGTGAGGTTGTGAAAAATATGTTCACGTTGACAACGAAAGTTCACTCAGGCAATCATGTGAAGTTTTTGGTATCTGACAGTGGTGGACATGGAAAGTGGAGTTGAGAGTGGACAATGTAGCTGCATGAAAATGATTGGTGATGTTTCAAGAAATACAGAGTTGTCTCCCCTTGTTGCTCGATCGGGAGACATCTTACAACTCATTAATTGTGTTTCAATTGCATATGGAACAGATGACAAACATGAAAGGTCAAGTGTGAATATAGAAGTGTAATTGTAGAACTGTCTCTGAGAAAATTCACAGAACCATTGAGATATGTGTGTACTGGAATACAAGTGAGTGGTGCTGGTTATATTCTCCGCAGACGTTATGCTCAAAGAAATAAAAATTGATTGTAGATTCTTGAACTGTTCATGTCTATTGAGCCATTTCAACAAACAGATTTTAGTAACATGATATTTTGAGAGTAATGCAATTCAATCTTAATTAAAATCAGACGATGATCTGAGGATATTCCATTACAGGTCATGTCAGAACGAATTCCGGGGTAGAATAGGTCTTCAGCAACCCATGCTTGCCGTAAAAGGTGACTATGCTTGTCGTAAAAGGCGACTAACGGGATTGGGTGGTCAGGCTCACTGACTTGGTTGATTCATGTCATCGTTTCCCAATTGCGTGGATCGATGCTCATGATATTAATCACTGGATTGTCTGGTCCAGACTTGATTATTTACAGACCACCATCATATAAGTGGAATATTGCTGAGTGCGGCGTTAAACAACAAACCAACCAACCATGTCAGAACGACCGTTCATTCGAGCAATCAGTGAGATCGTGAAAGTGAAAGTCCAAATGTGTTTTCTAATCATGGAAACATGAAAAGGGCTATATGACAGATTCAATGGGTTAATCATTTGAAATGGAAGAGACTTTCCAAAGTACTGCAATACAAATTCGGTGATTTATGACACATTCCAGAATTTCTTTTGTTCAAGTTTCAAATTTTGAGTCAAGAACTTTGTCTGGCTAATGTCACTTCCTGATAGTCCTTTCATTGGTAGGTCAAAGTTGGCGAAAGTGTGACCTGTAATAGGATGTTCTCAGATCCTTGTGTAGCAGTAGTGATCACAAAGATCTGATTTTTAAAGGGTTGATTACAACTCAAATCTGATGGCCTAGTGCAAAGATTACATTGTATTATTAGTTAAAAGGTCATTTTTCCTTCTTCATGTTGAATTGTGAAACAGGTTTCAAGTTTGTAGAGGGTCCAAAGAACATGTTTTTATTTATCTTGTACATTTATAGCTATCCTTATCAAAGAGCGTCTTGATGAAGTCATGTTTTCAACTGTACTGAAATGATACACCAACACCATGCTATCTCACACAGTTGTTTACAATACAAAACATGTAATAATATTAATATTATTAATATATTTCACAGGGAACAAGAAATTCTGTCAATTTGAAAGGAAACAAAAAGCTGTGTTTTTAATGTTTTACACTTTATCAGTTTTAGATAACCTTAAATTAGCATCCTCGTAGGGAGTCCGTTTGGTCCCTAGCAACCAAAGCAGGATGAGTGAGTGAGTGGTTTTACGTTGCTTTTTGCAATATTCCTGCATTATCGCGGCGATGGACACCAGAAATGGGCTTCACACATTGTACTCATGTGGGGAATCGAACCTAGGTCTTCGGCGTGATGAGCTTAGCCCGAAGCTGGATGAAAGAGGATTTAGTTGCTATCGTGTCAGTCAGTTATTTCACAGTATTGACCCTGTGTGGGTTCAGGGTCAGATGTCATCCCCAGCAGCCTGTTGGTGGTACGAGGCGACCTCTTGTAGTCAGGCTGGTCGGGTGGTCTGGTTCGTTGGCTTTGTTGATGCACATCATCGTATCCCAAGTGCGAAGATCAATGCTCATGTCACTCACTTGATTGTCTGTTTCAGACTCGATTATTTACCGATCGCCATCATATAGCTGTAATATTGCTGAGTGCTGTGTTAAGCAACAAACAAACAAGTGACATCATGGTGCACTGGTGAATTGTTTCAGTCTTCTTAGCTTTTCTGTTGTCTGCTGTCTGTTGTGAATTTTCAAATTACAAATGTGCATTGTTTTATGATTTCTTTTTATATTGGTGCTGTGTCAATGGCACTTTCATCTTTCAATATGACAACAAGGCAGCCGTTTCATTTCACTCAACAGTCTGTTTTCTTGTTTTAGCTTTTATTGTTTATTTTGTGAGAAAATAGGACAATCGAGGAGGAGGATTACTAATTGGCCTGTACTTACAATCATGGCAACGGGTGTTTTTGCATGAAGGTATGACTAAGTTTGAAATCCAGCTTGGATGTAATTTGGTTAATTGCTGATGATGCCATAACATATGGACTAATGTCATAATTGTCAGGATGAGAACAGCATTAAAATGTTACACACCTAGATAGGTAGATTAAGTATCTCTTGGCGTTTTGGGGGGTTATGCATGGTATGTACAGATCTCCTACTCAAATATCTGGAATATGGAATTTTCTTTAGAATCGTTAGTTTTTACTATTTTTTATTTGACATGCTTATGTTTGCTCAAATGCTATTCACAGCTTCACCAGTACAGCTTGTGGTTTTGTTCTCATGTAAAACACTATACAATAGTTTGTTTGACATTCCTGTCTTGTTTCACAAAAATGCCCTAAGAAAAATAGAGCTTTTGGAAAAATATTCTCATCCTGCCATGCCTACTAGTCTTATGTTATATACCCAAAAAGTAATATAATTTCAACACAAGACCAAAGGTTTTGAGCAAAAAGTCTGAACCAACTAATAAAAAATGAAAGGCACTTATCCATTGTACTTGTAGCAATTCAGGGAGTGAGGGATCTGAGGCACCCAAGTGGGAAAAGCGTTTGCTGGTCACGCTGAAAGCACAGGTTTAATTCCCCTCATGGGTTCATATGTTAAACTCATTGTTGGTTCCCCTGCAGTGGGGGGCACGGGTGGCCCAGTCGTCTAAGGCGCGGCGATTCGCTGTGCAGAGTTGCGTCCCTTGGGCACGCCAGAAACCTATGATTGTGGGGTTCAAATCCCGGTTCGGCCCGATTATGTTTCTAGGTTTGTCAGCACCATACCCCTGCTCGTGGGTTTCACCGAAGTGGTAAATATGTGAGACCTGCATCACTTCGAGCTTTCCTCCCACATTAAGCTGACACGCGGCAATATAACTGGAATATTGTTAAAAGTGGCGTTAAACCCAACTCACTCACTCACTCACTACCCTGCAGTGATATTGCTTGAATATTGAAAAAAATGGCTCAAAACTAACTCCTCTCAATTCACACAGTGTGTTGATGCATCTGTAGTTAAAGTACCATTAATGATATTGCTGCATTGATACCAATTCATTTGACATGTCTCCCAGGTTTAGTTGACATCAGAAATTGGTTATATTATACTACCAGAGTAGTGGGATGATATGAGTTAAGTTTCAGTTAGGAACAGTCTCATACATTTTTCTACTTGGTATTTCTCATTATGCCGGTTGGTAATAAGCTACTTAACATTAAGTTATTCATTCACCTGAGACATAGAATCCCTTATTACTTAGTACTTTTACCTTTAAAAAATCATAGAAGTACAGAATATTTCAGAAAATGATTCAAGTCTTACACTTGCTGAATTTCATTGATGCATTATGTAGTGGTAGAAACTAACAGTTTTAGTCCACTAGTCCTTATAATGATAACATGTAGCAAAACCCTTAAAAATGGCAAATTTCTACTAGTCCTTATGATACCTCAACTATTGGGCAGTTTCGCAAGGACTACAGGACTAGTGCCAATTTCTACCGCTGCATTATGGTGTCGGAAGAATAGTTTGATTTAAACAAATCAAATCTCTTGAGGTTCATGCAGCTATTAAAGAAATAAGACCACACAAAATTATATGTTTTTTTCATTTTAATATCAACAGTAGCCAAACACATTAACTAATGCTCACAGGATTGGTTACTTAGATTGGTCGTTCATGGAACTTTCAACATGTTTAAAAGTGTTTTTGCTTGAACATCCTCCTAAATATCAATTACTGTGTCTGTGGTCTGGTTGAAGGGTTTGGGAATGGCTGTTGTTGATAGATCATGACACAACACTGAGTCGGACCATCCATATCATCCTCGATATATCAAGGGACGTAATATATTTCTGTAAACTTACACTAACCCCTAGATCCATTCCCATGGTTCACACGATCTCAAATTACCCACCCTTGATTTTCATTAGCCAGTTTGATTTGCTTCGCTACTCAGTCTAACGGACCAATTATCAAACCAGCCTTTGATTACGATAGAGTTTGCAAGAAATTTAACATTGAAAAACTGAATGCTGGCAAGAGAATGCTCTCAAATTTTGATGGATGGACGTCTTCATGTTCATTAAAACTGGTGGTGGCAAGTCCTCCCTTACCCATTTCCTTTTTCCTCAATCTCATTAAAATCAGATCTTAGTTCTCACTGCCGCTAGACAAAGATCTGAGGACATCCCATTACGGGTCACGTCAGACCAACCTTTGGCAAACTTTGACCTACCAATGGAATTACTGACAAGTAGTTGACATTAGCCAATCAGAAGGAAGCTTTCTCGTGCTTTACGACACTAATTTCAAATTGGCGACTACGCTTCGAAACATATTTTGACAAATTCTCGCTTAAAAATTTGAAACCTGAACAAAAGAACATTCTCGAATGGCTAATATATGATCTAGATTGTATAGATTCAGTTGTTAAGTCCATAACTATCGTTAGGAATACCCCGTTTTAAAGTTTTCGAGGATGCCTGATGAGAAATCACATTCCCACTGTCACTTTCATGATCTGGTAGGCGACGCTCTGATTGGTCGGATGAAAGGTTGTTCTGACGTGACCCCAAATGGGATGTCCTCAGATCTTTGTTTAGCGGTAGCAAGAACTAAGATCTGATTTTATTGAGATTGCTTTTTCCTTATCTTGACGTTTGATTGGTCGGTAAAATGTTAATGAAAATCTAGGGCAGGTAATTTGAGATGGAGAGAACCACAGGAATGGATCCAGGGGTTATAGTGTAGGTTTACCGAAATGCGAGCCCTGGAGGTATAGAGGATGACATACAGTAGGCAAATTCATTTTACTGTTGCTCACAGGATTTGATCTTATTTCATGAAACTCTTAACATGGTTAAAAAGTGTATATGTTTGAATATCCTGCTGATTAATAATTACTGTATCTGTGATCTGGTTCAAGGTGCTTGGGAATGGTTCTTGTTGATAAATCATGACCAACACTGAGTCTCACCATGCATCTGCCCTGTCATTTACTTCGGTAAATGTCCACAAATGTGATGAGTACCTGTGATCTGATTGTCTGGA